CCCCAAAACCCCAAAACCCCAAAACCCCAAAACCCCAATTAAGTATAAATTAATTGAATATTTCGAGACATGGACAAGAAGTAAACCCTCTTTCAGGAATAATTTTTGTAGGGGTTTATTTAGATGCCCTCGTGATTTTTGAATGGCTTGGCTGATTTGGCTTGGTGCTTACTGCTTTTAGAGAGATACTGAACTTGAACATGAACCGACCGAAAATGGGAAAACTTCACAGAAAGTCGTTCTTGATGTCCTTGAGTAGAAATAAGCACCTGATCAGGCTTAAAACTAAGGTATGAATGTCCTGGTTTGTATACTATTAGTTTGATTGTTCTTATAGTCTGGAATAAATTTTTGCTAAAAAATTTAGATATCAGCTTAATTCGACAAAAATTGCTATGTACTCATATTATAATATAGAAAAAGGCCAAACAAGTGTTGCAGGACCTCAACTTCAGACTCAACAAGCTTGAATTCGAAAGTAATTATTGCCTAAATAATTTTTCTTATTTGTTGATACCGTCTCTAATTCTCTTTCTAGAGTTCAAATCTAAGCCGAAGGAGAATTTTGACGACCAAGAATCCTTAACGCCATCCATTAAGAGTAAGTCCACTGCTATTGGCACATATGACTGACAGGTTGTGGTTTAGGAGTCAGAGACAGAAGATCTGTGGGACAATGAGTTGATAATGCACTCTATGGAGACCATGACTTCACTCATATCCAAAACCCGGCTAGGAATGTTAAAAAGCATTCTAAATAAGAATCTGTATAAATAAGCTCAGTTCTATAAGGGACGACCAGCCTGAGTTTAACGTTACAGTGAATAAGTGCGAACATGTTTCTAGTATCTCTTCGACAATAAAACTACTTCAATTATCGAGTGTTTTTAATCATGAGGAGTCTCGTGATAAAAACAGACTGAGTCCTGATTCTACCTTTAAGCCAAATAACTTGAGGATTCAAAAATAAGCACATGAGTGAAGGAACTCTGAAAATGCTTGCAAAGCCTGAGAAGCCGAAGTTATCAATCAACACAAATTTTAAAAACAGTATCTTTGATCTAAGTACGTCTCTCTCATGTTAGTGCTCATATTTCTCAACTCTAAAAATATGTATCGGCAGGAAGAATCTTCTTGCATGATTTGTAGTAAAAAATTAATTAAAGAATCAAGTTCTTATTTCAAAAATTACACTTGCTTATCTAGACAAAGCAAGTTGATTTAAGCTAAACAGAAAATCTACGGGAATGCTGAGCTCAGATATCGTCTCTAAAGGCACTCAAAATCATCGGCTGAGAAGAATGGAAAATAATCTAATTTTTACTCAAGTAAGACTTTTAAATAATTCTTAGAATCGGTATGGAGGATCTAAGACTCCACTCCCCTTACGGAGCTTAAAGTAAGAACTGAGACTAATGCTTTTAGCCAAAGTTTCAGCACTGATGAGCAGACTCCGAATGCAGCAATGAACACGCTAGACTTCATCAAGAACGAATCAAGGATACTATACAACAAGAGGATCGAAGAAAACCGTATTCTTAGAGTAACCTCTCTTCTTAACCATCTAGCACTCTAGCAAGAAGCTTAAGAAATTGAAGAAATATGGTAAAATAAAGGTTTTGCACTTGAGGAATAAAATTTCGTGCTTAACCAGTAAGCCTAGATAAAATTAAAGAGTGCTCTAATAAGCAAATGTGGGAATATAAGCGGTAAACTACTTAATAGTATATTATCAACAACATGTAAATTTCAACATAAGATTTGTAAATAGGGGTTTTGGGGTTTTGGGGTTTTGGGGTTTTGGGG